CTTCAGTGTCGATATGGTAACTCAGTTGATGTGCTGACACTTGCATAGCTCGGTTCGGCTGCATTGTTTAGAACTGTGTCGATGTGGTAACTCAATTGATGAGCTGACCCATTCTCACAATACGATCTTCCAAAAAGTACCATAATAGATGGCATCACGAGACTTACCATCAGTTGAATATACGACTACCAAATTTAACAAGCAAGGCGAATAACCCAGTTATGCATACTTGCACTGCAAACCGAATTATACATGTGAAGTGCTATGCGTTGGGTAACCGCTTACGTGCATAGCCCATTTAACAGATTCTTATGTGACAACTCTCAAGCAAAACTAAGTAGGGAATTTATTCGCAAATGAACTCACCAGTTGAAATCAGCTTTCTAAAATTTTGCCGACCAGCTACGAATAGAAGCTAAGGATAACCTTTTCCAAATCGATTTCGATTACTAACATCGTCAATAATTTCGATGCACATACCAATTGTGCGATAGCACACTTGTGCCAGCTCTCTGTGCTGACTCATTAAAGTGAGTTGGAGTTACTGAGTCAGCACACCAAAATTTACAGAGTTACCCACCCTTAATAAAGGTGTTGTCAGTAGCGACGTGTTTGTTGTAATTTTGACAAGATCGGCATGCTTATTTCCAGTGCTGCCGATCTTAATTTTTATACTACTATTCGTTGGGAAATAGTATCTAAAATACTCCATTTTAGTATTTCGTTTTATCGCGATTTTTAAAGAACTTGGTGTTTTCAGAACGATATTAGTATTTAAAATTGCTGGGTTTGTATAATTTGTGTCCTCAAAATATAAAATATAAAAGATATCGTGGTGATCAATGGAAAAAGACGTACACAAAAATCGTATGAAAGGCGATTTTTTTATATTAAATATCTTTTGCTGCATTGTCATAATATCGAGCCAAATGGACTACTGATACACTAGAATAGAGCGTATTACGATGTCGCTTATATTATCGATATTTATGTGTTTTAATCTATTTCAAAAATTATTTACAGTCTCATACGAAATTGCTTTATTTTGCGGCCTTACTTTTTTATAAGTTACAATTGGGGTGTTCACAGTTCGTTCCAAATTGTGTCTGAAAATGTAGACGTCTGTGTGGAGCTTATAAGCCTGTAATTATACATTTTTCTACATTTAATTTGAAATAGTATGCACAAACGGATTAAAAGTAGAAAATAATTAGCATCTTTTCTAATACTTTAAAATGCGTAACCGGAATAGACCTGCCGAAAAAGTGAGGTTAAGTTACTGACAACACCTTGTTTTCACATGGTATTGATGTTTGGCCTTTGTTTTGATTGGTATATAAGTTCTAGTAAATAGAAAAGTTACGGTTAAAATTCCTTCATGTATGACAACAATGAAGAATGTTAAATAAAACAGTGAAATCCCCAAATTATCTTAACTGATGGATATTTCTGTAAAATTTCTCAAAGAATTTCTGATTAAGAACATTACCTCTCTCGTTCAGCACATTTCCCCACAGTATATACAGCACTAACCTTTTTGAGTACTCCTCTGATTCAGAGTTGTATACAAAATTACTGTGATATGAAAGGGAGCAAAAACCGTGTTATGGTAGAGTGGCACAGGTTATTTCGTAGGAAAACACTTCTTAAAATGTTAATAGGTAATTGCTATTTATTTTCTAATATCCAGATATGCAGCTTGTTATTAGAGGCAGTGGCATGAGAGGCTCACTAAAATCTACTCATCATGTTGGAGCAGCTCCGGGTAATGGACCAAGGAATGTGCTGGCTGAACTTATTACCATCATAACCAAAGGAATCTTCAACAAATGCATGGCCTGAATTTATTCGATAGCAATTCATAGCAATTACTATTGTATGTGTGTATCATTCATATTATATTTGTGACATTCTATGCTTTGATGTTAAGTATTTTTGAGAAGCTTCGGGTGATGGTCGCTCAAACTTGGGTGTGCTTAATGCACTGTGGATTCGCTGGCAGGCATTAGAGTCTTGCTTGTGTTTTTTTTTATATTTTTTTTTTTAATAAATAGTTAAATATTTTTATTCGGAAATTGAGAATTTTTTTTTATTTTAGAGAAAAATATATTTTTTACTAAAATATAATCTTATAAGGGATATTTTTTAAATTTTAAGTATATATTTATTCTAGATTCAGACGGAGAAACTTGTGTCGCGGCAACTCGATATTTTAGGGAGAGGGGGAGTCGAGGAAGGGGGTAGGGCACTCGTTCGGCTGAGTAATGCTAGTTGGCCGTTCAGAGCTGACAACAACAATTGTGTACAAAAAAGGTTCTCTGTGTGAACGCGAAGGGCAACACCAAAAGAGAAATTGCCGAAAATGAGCAACAAAAGTTTCACTCTGTGAACCTAGTCTTAAGAAAACTCCATTCAGTGCTATAATTAAGAATTGAGTTTTTCAGTTTATAGAAACGACATGGGTAATACCGCGATTTTTATGGCTCTAGCTCAATAACGCCGGCGCCACCTGTGGTGTCAGCGCACTAACCAGCGCAATGTTGTTGTAGCGGCTACTAAGCCCCGTTCGGGGCGGTTCATCCATAAACGTTGTCGTCAATTTCAGCTAGGGGGAGGCCAGGAAGTGTGCTACTTTCACAGGGGCTGTCCATAGGGACAGGGGCGTTAGCTGAGTGGGGTTCTCAGGGCATGTGAAGAGGTGCCGGGAGTCATGTGGCGATTCTCCACATGCCGGGCATTGGTTGGGCACATCCTCGTTGATTCTGCTCAAGTACGAGTTGAGCCTGCTGCAATAGCCAGAGCGGAGTTGGGCTATTGTAGAGCGGGTCTCCCGAGGCAGACAAAGTTCTGTCCCGTCCCCGTCCGGTGGTTGTGTGCCTAGAAGGCATTCACAGGGCGGGAGTCTACATAACTTGAGACTGATTCCCTGTGAATGCCGTTCAGGGCCTGAAATAAGTAAACGACGAAAATCGTCGAAAACTATGCAGTGCTGCCATGATTTTTCGATTTAGTACACTAGTCGAGTGGAAATTTTAGAAAATGACTTGAATTTGAAAAACGACTTGCATTCGTCACGACTCTCGCAATGAGGGCGATAATTTTGTATATTTTATCCTCGAAAAGAACTTTTTATAATCATGAGGTGGAATTCTCCACAGTAAGTGCTGCCGTGCGCGAAAAACGAAAACGCTCGACACAACCCAAAAATATTCCTCGGGGACCACTTGGTAAAAAACTGCGAAAAGTTTTATTACTGTATATACTTAAGGATCCCCTTAAACTTGTAAAGTCTTAAACAGTGTAAAACTCGTAAGTTTATGAGGCTTTTATGGGAACGCCCCCTTTGTGAAAAGGTGTAAATAGGTGCGTAAAGTTACTGTTTAATAGATCAACCAGGATGTTGTGAAGCAATTTTTGTTTCGTAGATTTTCCAGCATATTCCGCCATTTTGTCTCTACAACTATTGGCTAAAACACAATTGGAAATGTCGAAAATTAGCAGAACACCTAAATCAATACAGTTAGAGTAGGAAATTCATTTATTTTATTCGCGTATTGTTTTTTTCATTTATTTTTATTATTTTATACATTTTAGTATAAACATTTCGGCACCTCGGCAACACTGAAGCTTACGAGGTCGTTTGCACGTCAAATTTGCCTCCTAAATTTACGAGGGGCTCGTAAATAGAGCTCCATACAAATTTTGACAGTTCTTTTACGGGGCTCGTAAATTTACGAGCTTTACGAGGTTTACGAGGCTTTTATACCATGTTCTGACCGACATCGAAAACATGTTTTCGTTGCTAAAACTGGTTTTCGACTTAATATTCAATTTACATTGAGCCCAAATGCGTCATTTGGGCGAGAAACCTCAAATGCGAGGCCAAATCACGCATTTCTCCATACAAATTCACATTTCCAGAATGACGCATTTCGACGCATTTACACAAAATCACGAAACAAATGCGTTCCAATTGCCGTACTATTTTATTGAACGCACTCAGAAACAAAAGTTCCACAAAAGCTTTGGTTTGTCTTTGACATTTGGAATTTTTCAAACACAAAACAAACACAACGAAATAAATAAATCTTTGAAATTTGTGTGTAAAAATTGTTAATTTATACAAGAGCTTTACACATTTTTAGTTTAATCAAAGAATAATTGCCTTTTTGTGTCCAAAAAGCGTTAACAATATAATAAATGTAGTGTTTGTTTACATACATTTTGTTTTTGTCTTCCCTTTTCATTTGATGAGAAGTCAAAGCAAATGCGGATCAAGCAGTGTAAACACCTCCAAATGACTGATTTCAAATCACGAATTTTGGTCCAATGTAAATGTAATATAAAACATGTGTTTTCGTCCATGTAAAATCTGTCAAACGATAACTAGTTTTCGCTGAAAACTATTTGAAAACTCACGTTCCACTCATTTCAATCGGTGTCTTCACTAGTTTTTTTCGATTATTTATTGAAGTGGAAGTCATATCTTATCATCTTTAATACGCCATTTCAGATTTATTGTTAATTGGCTGGCAAAAATAAAATAAGAATGAAAGAGGTTACTAATGAAAGAAAATGAGGGAAAAGCATTTTGGTTTTGTTTTTGTGTAGTAAAACTGTAATCAGAGGATGTAAGAAATGTCAACGAAAACACTAACAGCCGGTGTGAACAGCCTTCAGCCCACAATCTCAAAACACGTTTTCAAAGTGTTTTCGTTGTCGGTCAGAACATGGTATTACATGTATAAAAGAAGACCCCTACTGTGTATTTCCCTTCTGAATTTTCAAATTGTTGTGGTCGCAAAAAGATGTGTAACACAACAAAAGCACTTGATAAAGCTAATTTCTCGACTCGGGGCACGAAATGTGATATTTTGAGTTTATTTTTCTCACTCGACAGGGCTCAGCGTAGAAAATCATGCTGAAAATCAATAGCAAATCAAACTCAGTTTATCGATTATAGAACAACTCGATAATGATCAATGCTGAACTCGTGACGAGTTCTGTTTCATCAGCGAGTTCATTGTGAATATATACAGGACAAAGAAGAAGCAACGCAGCACAATTTTGTGTTTTGGTAAAAATTTGTTAATTTTAATTGTAAAATGGCCACGGCATTGAAAAGGCCGCATTCCTTAACGGAAACGATCGAGATTGGTTCGAAGCCTCAGAAAAAAATTCGCATTCAAACAACAGCTAAGGTTAATAAGAGCAGCCATATATTGCAAATTTTGGCAGCATTGGAGGGAGTTCCTCTCGGTCACGGTCAGCAAGGCAGCAAGGATCTACTCGAAGTATTGGTGAAGATAGCAGATGAGCTTGTATTGGATGATGCACAAATTGCTGAATCACAAGATGTCATACACCGTCTAATGGAAATATTCCGCCAAGAGCGGGATGGTGACACCACTGTCCGTGTGAAAATCCTCGGTTTACTTGCCGATTTTTCCGATGTACGAATACCTGAGGTGGTCAACGCTTTAGTCGATGGCATCATTGGAATATTAAAACATGAGAGGTCACAAAAAGTTATTGCACAAGGCTTATATGGTTTGCACAAGATTGGCATACAAAATATAAAACTCTTACCGTCAACGCATGTCACAAAAATTGCCCACTTTGCGCAACAGCAGCTCACATCAGAATCCTACCATACACATAAATATGCTTTGTTGGTACTGTCAGCTTTTGTAACACTAAATGATGCCCGAAAAGGTGTAATGGATTTAATAGGACATTATGCAGATTCACAAGATTCGGGAGTACGTGCGCAGGCATTGAGATCTATATTATGTCTAGGCGAGCGCGGCGCAACTCTATCACCCACACTTTACCAACGTGCTGTAGAAGCTATGAAAGACGATTATGAATGCGTACGGAAAGAGGCTCTGCAATTAGTATTCCAACTGGGCATAAGTCATCCCGACCACATGATACCTGGTGAAGGGGAGGAAGACGAGGAAATACGCCTGATCGATGCCGCATTTGGTAAAGTCTGTGGAGCACTCTGCGACCTTTCTATACAGATACGTACACAAGTATGTATACTTTAACTTGTATTCTACCGTATCTTTTATAAATGCTTTACTACGTTTTTTAGGCTGCAGAGCACTTAGGTCTTATGACGCAAGTCAGTTCAGAGTTTTTGCATCAGACTTTGGATAAAAAATTAATGAGTAATTTACGTCGAAAGAAAACGGCTCATGAACGTGGTGCACAATTAGTGGCGAGTGGTGAATGGTCGACTGGGAAACGGTGGGCTGATGACGCACCGCAGGAACGACTTGATTCTAAATCTATATCGCTTGTAGCCAGTGGGGCTTGTGGGGCGCTAGTGCATGGGTTAGAGGATGAATTTTTAGAAGTGCGTACAGCTGCAGTGGATTCAATGTGCAAATTGGCTTTATGCAACCCAGATTTCGCAGTAACATGTCTGGATTTTCTAGTAGATATGTTCAACGATGAAATCGAAGATGTACGCCTGAAAGCAATTTATAGCCTTACCGCCATAGCGCGCCATATTGTGTTACGCGAGGATCAACTAGAAATAATGCTGAGTTCATTGGAAGACTATTCAGTCGATGTACGCGAGGGATTGCACTTGATGTTGGGAGCTTGTCGTGTTTCCACACAGGTAAACGGAAACGCGAAAAAATTTATTCTAAATTTCTGACAGTAAACTTAGCTTTTAACCTTTTTGGGTTGTGTATTTTAAATAGTTATAACCGGGATGCATTTTATTGAGCGGTTTTATATTAACTTTANCACTTGATGTTGGGAGCTTGTCGTGTTTCCACACAGGTAAACGGAAACGCTAAAAAATTTATTCTGAATTTCTGACAGTAAGCTTAGCTTTTAACCTTTTTGGGTTGTGTATTTTAAATAGTTATAACCGGGATGCATTTTATTGAGCGGTTTTATATTAACTTTTATTTCAGGCATGCCTTCTGATGGTTGTGCAAAAATTGCTTGATGTGCTTTCCAAATATCCTCAAGACAAGAACTCTACTTTCGGTTGTATGCGCAAAATTGGGCAGAAGCATCCCGACCTCTGCATGGCCGTCACATCTCACCTCCTGCAAGATCATCCGTTTTTTGACAGCGCAGAACGTGACGTAGAAGACCCCGCCTACCTTTGTATACTGATTTTACTTTTCAACGCCGCAGAGCACTTAGTGCCGTTAATAAGTTTGTTTCCAGATGTAACACTGAAACACTATGCGTATCTTCGCGACGCTATGCCCCAAATCGTACCTCAATTACCCATTGAAGGTGCTTCCACTACGAAACCCATCAACCCTTTAAAAGGCGCACAGAGTTCTCGAGAGTACTTAAATACAATACTACAACATATACACGATGTTTTTAGTATAGTTCGCGATCGAGTTCCATTGTTGAAGACAGCCCAGAGCAATTTGCAACGTCTAGGTGCAATCGATCCGGAAATGTTCGGTACTGCAAATTTTTTGGAAACATACTTGGCGGGGCAAATACAATTAGATCAGCTTCAAAGCTGCACAAATACGCAGCGCAGTCGCGCACCACTAAAAGAGTCATTAGCGCAACTGATACGTAATTGCCTTAAATTGCAACACATCTTCTCTGGGCTCACATATGGTGACATGTTACTTGTAAAGCAAATTTGCTTGCGCGCTTGTGCACTGCATCTTGTGCTTATTGTACGGGATCGCTCTCAAAGTGCACTTGGCCCCTGTCAGATGCTACTTCAAACAGCTGCAGACATCAGCAACTTCCTAGATGACAAGGAAGAGTTCCAACCAGATCCATTTACAACATCATTGCTTACGCAGTTAAGTAACATTTCGGATCCAAAGCCCGGAAGAGTATTTCGCGAAATTTTGCCGCTAGTACAAAGAGCTTCGCCCGTGCGTATGCCTCCGGCGAATGTCAACATACGTATGTGTGTAGCACGAATTATTGAGCCATGTGCACAAATGGCACAGGACAATGTCATTAAAGTAACTGCTGGATTAATTGCAGCGCTTCCTTTTGTTGCGGAATTTGACAATTTACAAGAAACTCAAAAACAAGAAATGCGTATTAAAATTAAATATCCTGATCAACATGTTCACACGGTGGTGCCAAAGTTGTCTGACTTCAAGAAAATTATGACCGAGCAGGGCGAGCACGAAACTAGCATGCGATTGCGTACTACTATTTTGCTCTCGCATAGCGTCTGGACAGAGGCATCGTCAGTCGACATTACGTTGTGCTTATCTGTGAGGCCGGGTACTGAGTTAGAGTTGTGTAAACCCGCGAAAATACTATTCGCACCAAAACCAGTTCGACGTGGCATATAAGATGGTAATAGAAACAGTTTTGTCATGCATGTATGTATGGATGTATATATGCACCAATGTATGTATGTATAATCTCGATAAGAAATTTAAAGTAAATTACATACCAATTTGTGTATTAGAAATAAATGTAGATGATCTGTATTGACGAAAAAGTGAGACATATATTTTCCATAAACAATAAAAATAATGTATTAACAACAATT